GACTTCACTGGCGTGAACACTGGCAGGATTTTATTGACTTCTCGGTGGGAGCAGGGTAAATGGAGGGGAAGGGGTATGGCCAGCAATTGGCCCTGGCAGCTGTCACCACAGCAGCAGCAGCGCCAAATAGGTCTTGACCCTCCGGTGCGAGTAAAGTGTCAATACAACACGTACAGTAGAAATATCCAAACATGTTCTTTGGTTGGCTGAGGAAAAGATGCGAGTTTATTGGCCTGACTGATGGTTACGTGGGAGGATGTTGTTGGCCCACAAGTTGTATAAGTGCCAACAGGTGCCACCAGGTGCCACCAGGTGCCACAATTAATGAGGTGAAAACACACAATTAGAGAGAGTTTCCTGCGACACACTGCGGCGTCTCTTTCATCCAGGCAGAGACTGATTCTTGAGGTTTTAAAAGAGGCGTTCAGAGTTTGGGGAAGTCGTTGCCATTATTGTTGGGTTCTAACTTTAATTAGCTGTGGCTTGCAAACGCTGTCCTGTCTCATTGTACCGTAGAGCAACTTACTGCGGCTTATGGCTACACTGACTCACTGGTTCAGTGGATTATGTTTGTGTGTTTGTGTTTGTCTGTTGTGTATTTGTATATGTTTATTACGTCAATTAGTGATTATCGTTAATTACACCTTAAGAGACAGCTCTCTCTCTCTCTCTCTCTCTCTCTCTCTCTCTCTCTCTCTCTCTCTCTCTCTCTCTCTCTCTCTCTCTCTCGTCAATTAAGCCTTTAAACATGAGTGAGGTTTTGGCGAAATAGTGACAACATTTTGTTTTTATTGATCAACTGCTGTTAATTTGTTGATATTTGGTAAAATTTGTTATGTTTCATTTAAGGCGTCCCTCACACACCTGCTGCGTCCCTCACATAATTGCTGCGTCCCTCACACACCTGCTGCGTCCCTCACACACCTGCTGCGTCCCTCACACACCTGCTGCGTCCCTCACACACCTGCTGCGTCCTCACATAATTGCTGCGTCCTCACACACCTGCCCTCACATAATTGCTGCGTCCTCACACACCTGCCTCACATAATTGCTGCGTCCCCTCACACACCTGCTGCGACCTCACATAACTGCTGTCCTTCACACACCTGCTGCGACCCTCACAAAACTGTTGCGTCCCCCCACACACCTGCTGTGACGCTCACATAACTGCTGCGCCCCTCACACACCTATATTTTCCCTCATAAACCTACCGTGCTCCTCAAACACCTGTTGCGTCCCTCACACACCTGTTGCGTCCCTCAAGCACCTGTATCTTCACTCACACACCTGCTGCATCCCTCACACACCAGTATCTTCCTTCACACACCTGATGCGTCGCTTTACACACCTGCATCGTCCCTCACACACCTGCTGCATCCCTAACACCCCTACCACCTGGGACAGATGGCTCCACCCTCACCACGTGGGACATATGGCTCCACCCTCACCACCTGTAACAGATGGCTCCACCCTCACCACCTGGGACAGATGGCTCCACCCTCACCACCTGAGACAGATGGCTCCACCCTCACCACCTGGGACAGATGGCTCCACCCTCACCACCTGGGACAGATGGCTCCACCCTCACCCCCTAAGACAGATGGCTCCACACTCACCACCTGGGACAGATGGTTCCATCCTCACCCCTAAGACAGATGGTTCCATCCTCACCCCCAAGACAGAGTTCTATCCTCACCACCTGGGACAGATGGCTCCACCCTCACCCCTAAGATATATGATTCAACCTGCATCCCCTAAGGCAGATGGCTCACCCCCACGCATAAGACAGATGGCTCCATCCCTGCTACCTGGGACAAATAGCTCCACCTTCACCATCTGGGACAGATGGGTCCACCTCACCCTTCTAAGACAGATGGGTCCACCTCACCCCATAAGACAGATGCTTCACCTCCTCACACTTGGGACAGATGGCTCCACCCTCATCACCTGGGACAGATGGCTCCACCCTCACCCCAAGACAGGTGGCTCAACCCCCACCCACTAAGACAGATGGCTCCACCTCCCCCAATAAGACAGATGGCTCCACCTCTCCACCAGGGTAGATAGCTCCACCTCCCCACAAGACAGATGGCTCCACCTCCCCAATAAGACACATGGCTCCACCTCCCCAATAAGACAGATGGCTCCACCCCTCCCCCATAAGACAGATGGCTCCACCCTCCCCAATAAGACAGGTGGCTCCACCTCCCCAATAAGACAGATGGCTCCACCCTCCCCCAATAAGACAGATGGCTCCACCTCACCACCTAGGGTAGATAGCTCCACCTCACCCCCTAAGACAGATGGCTCAACCTCACCCACTAAGACAGATGGCTCCACCCTCCCCCATAAGACAGATGGCTCCACCCTCCCCACAAGACAGGTGGCTCCACCCTCCCCAAAAGACAGATGGCTCCACCTCCCAATAAGACAGATGGCTCCACCTCACCACCCTAGGTAGATAGCTCCACCTCACCCCTAAGACAGATGGCTCAACCTCACCCCTAAGACAGATGGCTCAACCTCCCAATAAGACAGATGGCTCCACCTCACCACTCTGGTAGATGGCTCCACCCTCATCACCTGGGAAAGATGGCCCACCTCACCCCAAGACAGATAGCTCCACCCTCACCCACTAAGACAGATGGCTCCACCTCACCCCAAGACAGATGGCTCTGCCCTCATCACCTGGGACAGATGGCTCCACCCTACCCCTAAGACAGATGACTTCACCCTCACCCCATAAGACAGATGGCTCCACCCTCACCACCTGGGACAGATGGCTCCTGCCTCATCACCTGGGACAGATGGCTCCACCCTCAGCCCCTAAGACAGATTGCTCACCCTCACCCCGACAGATGGCTCCACCCTCACCACCTGGGAAAGATGGCTCCACCTTCACCACCTGGAACAGATGACTCACCTCAACACCTGGGAAAGATGGCTCCACCTTCACCACCTGGAACAGATGACTCCACCCTCAACACCTGGGAAAGATGGCTCCACCTCACCACCTGGGACAGATAGCTCTACCCTCACCACCTGGGAAAGATGGCTCCACCCTCACCACCTGGGACAGATGGCTAGCATTACTGTGCATCTTAAATTGAATGATATCCAATGGAAAGGTCAGCCGGCACACGCTCTGTCGCTCTCATTATATGCAAAGAACCACAACCACCCCCACTACCAGCTTCCCTTGATGACCTCCGGCTGATGACCCCTCCAATATTTCATGGTCGTTACCTTCCAGCTGTCTCCTCCTCCTCCTGCTGCCCTCATCTTGGAAGCGTCCGGCCTGGTCAGATTGCACCAGCTGGGGTCATGATTGTATTGGATGACAGGTGTGTGTGTGTGTGTGTGTGTGTGTGTGTGAGGTATACCACAACGGCCTAGACTAAACTACGTGATAGGTGTGTTTGTCAGGTATACTAAAGAGTGTTTCTGGATGCTTAAAAGGAGTTGCATACAAGTGTTACTAATCTTCACACTGGCCTTAACACTAATCTTCACACTGGCCTTAACACTAATCTTCACACTGGCCTTGACACTAATCTTCACTGGCCTTAACACTAATCTTCACACTGGCCTTGACACTAATCTTTACACTGGCCTTAACACTAATCTTCACACTGGCCTTAACACTAATCTTCACACTGGCCTTAACACTAATCTTCACACTGGCCTTGACACTAATCTTTACACTGGCCTTAACACTAATCTTTACTCTATCCTTGACACTAATCTTCACACTGGACTTGACACTAATCTTCACACTGGTCTTCACACTGGCCTTCACAATAATTTTCAGACTGGCCTTCACACTGGTCTTCACACTGGTCTTCATACTAGTCTCCACACTAGCCTTCACATTTATCTTCACACTGGTCTTCACATTAATCTTCACATGGTCATCACACTAATCTTCACACTTTACACTAATCTTAACACCGGGTTTCACATTAATCTTCACACTGGTCATCACACTAATCTTCACACTTCACACTAATCTTAACACCGGGTTTCACATTAATCTTCACACTCATCATCACATTAATCTTCACACTAATCTTGACAGTGGCCTCCACATTAATTTTCAAACTAGTCTTCACACTAACATTCACACTAATCTTCACGCTAATCTTCACACTAATCTTGACGGTGGCGTTCAAACTAATCTTCACGTATCTTCACACTAATCTTGACAGTGGCCTCCACATTAATTTTCAAACTAGTCTTCACCTACATTCACACTAATCACCACACTAATCTTCACACTTATCTTGACGGTGGCGTTCAAACTAATCTTCACACTTATCTTCACACTAATCTTCACACTTATCATGACAGTGGCATTCACAATAATCTTCACACTGGCCTTCATACCAATTTTCAACCTCATTTTCAGACTGGTCTTTACATTGGTCTTCACACTAATTTTCACACTGGTGTTCACACTAATCATTTCACTAATTTCCACACCAATCTTCACACTATACTCCATCTTCACACTAGTCTTCACACTGGTCTTTAAATTGGTCTTCACACTAATTTTCACACTAATCTTCAAACTAATCATCACACTGACTTTCACATTGGTTTTCACACTAAGGTTCACATTTATCTTCACAAAGGTCTCAACACTAAGTTCCACACTGATCGTCACACTCACTAATGTACTAATCTTCATACTAGTCTTCACATATGTTCACTCTAATCTTAAACCTAATCATCACACTGGTATTCACACTGGTCGTCACATTAATGATCACACTAATCTTCACACTGGTCTTCACTCTGATCTTCACACTGGTCTTAACACTGGCCTTCACTCTGATCTTCACACTGATCTTCACACTGGACTTCACGCTGATCTTCACATCAATCTTCAAGTGGTCTTCACACTAATCTTCACACTGGTCTTCACACTGATCTTCACATCAATCTTCACAGTGGTCTTCACAATAATCCTCACAGTAATCTTCACAAAGGTCTTCACAATGGTCTTCACACTAATCTTCACACTGGTCTTTACACTGGTCTTCACTCAGGTCTTCACACTGATCTTCACATCGGTCTTCACACTGATCTTCACATCAATCTTCACACTGATCTTCACAATAATCCTAACACTGGTCTTCACTCTGGTCTTCAAGCTGAGCTTCACCAATTTTCACACTGGTCTTCATACTAGTCTTCACACTGATCTTCACACTGGTCTTCACACTGGTCTTCACACCAAACCTCACACTGGTCTTCACACTGGTCTTCACAATAATCTTCATGCTGGTTTTCACACTGCTCTTCACACTGGTCTTCATTCTGGTCTTGACAATGGTCGTCATACCAATCTTCACACTGGTCTTCACACTGGTTTTCACACTGGTTTTCACAATAACCTTCACACTAGTCTTAACGATAAATTTCACACTGGTCTTCACAATATTCTTCGCACCAAACTTCACTCTGGTCTTCACTCTGGTCTTCACAATAAACTTTACACTGATTTTCACTCTGGTCTTCACAGTACTCTTCACACTGGTCTTAAAAATAATCTTCACACTGGTCTTAGCGATAACCTATACACTGGTCTTCACACCAGTCTTCAAAATAATCTTCACACCAATCTTCACACTAGACTTAATGTATTCACAATATTCTTCACACTGGTCTTAACAATAATCTTCACAATGGTCTTAGCAAAAATCTTCACACTGGTCTTCACACAGGTCTTTACTCTGGTCTTCACACTGATCTCCACACTGGTCTTTGCACAGGTCTTCACATCAATCATCACACTGATCTTCACACAATCTTCACACTAGTCTTCACTCTGGTCTTCACACTGATCTTCAAAAAATCTCATACTGGTCTTCATACTGGTCTTCACAATAATCTTCACACTGGTCCTCACACTGGTCTTCACATTGGTCTTAATAATAATCTTCACACTGGTCACAATAATCTTCACACTTGGCTTCACAATAATTCTCACAATAATCTTCACTGGTCTACATACTAGTATTTAGAAATCTTCACAATGGTCTTAACACCTGGTCTTCACAATAATCTTCACACTGGTCTACATACTAGTCTTTACATTAATCTTCACACTGGTCTTCACACTGGTCTTCCCAGTAACCTTTACACTGGTCTTCACACTCGTCGTCACACTGGTATTCACTCTGGATGTTTACTCTGGTCTTAACAATAATCTTCACACTGGTTTACACACTGGTCTACACTGGTCTTCACAATAATCTTCACTGGTCTTCACACTCGTCGTCACACTGGTCTTCACTCTGGATGTTCACTCTGGTCTCAACAATAATCTTCACACTGGTCTTCATACTGGTCTTCACGCTGGTCTACACACTGATCTTCACAATAACCTTGGCACTGGTCTTCACTCTGGTATTCACAATGTTCTTCACACTGGTCTAAACATAATCTTCACACCGGTCTTAGCAATAATTTTCACACTGGTTTTCACACTGGTCTTCACTCTGGTCTTCACACTGGTCTTTACACTGGTCTTTACACTGGTTTTCACATCAATCATCACACTGATCTTCTAATAATCTACACACCAGTCTTCACTCTGGTCTTCACACTGATCTTCACAAAAATCTTCATACTGGTCTTCATACTGGTCTTCACAATATTCTTCACACAGGTCCTCACACTGGTCTTCACACTGGTCATAATAATAATCTTCACAATGGTCACAATAATCTTCACACTTGGCTTCTAATAATTTTCACAATAATCTTCACACTGGTCTACATACTATTCTTTACAAATCTTCACACTGGTCTTAACACCTGGTTTTCACACTAATCTTCACACTGGTCTACATACTAGTCTTTACGTTAATCTTCACACTGGTCTTCACACTGTTCTTCACAATAATCTTCACTGGTCTTCACACTCGTCGTCACACTGGTATTCACTCTGGATGTTCACTCTGGTCTTAACAATAATCTTCACACTGGTCTACACACTGGTCTACACACTGGTCTTCACAATAATCTTCACACTGGTCTTCACACTCGTCGTCACACTGGTCTTCACTCTGGATGTTCTCTCTGGTCTCAACAATAATCTTCACACTGGTTTTCATACTGGTCTTCACACTGGTCTTCACTCTGGTCTTCACACTCATATTCACAAAAATCTTCACACTGTTCTTCATACTGGTCTTCACAATAATCTTCACATGATCATCACACTGGTCTTCACACTGGACCTTCACTCTGGTCTTCACACCAATCTTCAAAATAATATTAACACCAATCTTCACGCAGGTCTTAACACTGGTCTTCACACTGGTCTAAATAATAATCTTCACACTAGTCTTCACAATAATCTTCACACTTAGTTCACAATAATCTTCACAATAATCTTCACACTGGTCTACATACTGGTCTTTAAAATAACCTTCACACTGGTCTTCACGCTGTGCTTCCAAATAATCTTCACACTGGTTTTCAGAATAATCTTCACACTGATTTTAACACTGGTCATCACATAAATCTTCACACTGGTCTTCACAATAATTTTCATACTGGTTTTCACTCTGGTCTTCACTCTGGTATTTACTATGGTCTTCACACTAGTCTTAACAATAATATTCATACTGGTCTTCATACTGGTCTTCACTCTGGTCTTCACACCGGTCTTTACACTTGGCTTCACAATAATCTTCACACTGCTCTTAGCAATACTCCTGACATTATTTTTCGCACTAATCTTGACACTGGTCTTCACACTGGTCTTTTCAATAATCTTTACACTGGTCTTCACAATAATCTTCACACTGGTTTTCACAATAAGCTTCACATTGGTCTTCACAATGATTTTCACACCAATCTTCACACTTGGCTTAGTAATAATCTTCACACTGGTCTACACACTGGTCTTAAGAATAATCTTCACACTTGGCTTTACAATATTTTCATACTGGTGTAACAATAATCTTCACACTGATCTTCAAAATAATCTTCACACATGGCTTCACAATAATCTTCACACTAGTCTACACTGGTCTTAACAAAAATCTTCACACTTGGCTTCACAATAATTTTCACACTGGTCTTCACATTAATCTTCACACTCATCTTCACAATAGTCTTCACACTTGGCTTCACAATAATCAATGCACTGGTCTTAGCAATAATCTGTACACTGGTCTTCACATTGGTCTTCACAGTAATCTTCACACTGGTCTTCACAGTAATCTTCATACTTGGCTTCACAATAATCTTCACACTGGTCTTCACAATAATCTTCACACTCATCTTCACAATAGTCTTCACACTTGGCTTCACAATAAGCATCACTATAATCTTCACACTGGTCTACACACTGATCTTAACAATATACTTCACACTTGGCTTCACAATAATCTTCACACTGGTCTTCACAATAATCTTCACACTCATCTTCACAATAGTCTTTACACTTGGCTTCACAATAAGCGTCACTATAATTTTCACACTGGTCTACACACTGCTTTTAACAATAATCTTCACACTTGGCTTCACACTAATCTCCACACTGGTCTTTATAATAATTTTCATACTGGTCATCACATTGGTCTTCACAGTAATCTTCACACTGGTCTTCACAGTAATCTTCATACTTGGCTTCACAATAATCTTCACACTGGTCTACACACTGGTCTTCACAATAATCTTCACGCTGGTCTTCACAATAATCTACACACTGATCTTCACACTAGTCTTCACACTTGGCTTCACAATAAGCATCACTATAATCTTCACACTGGTCTACACACTGGTCTTCACAATAATCTTCACACTTGGCTTCACAATAATCTACACACTGGTCTTCACAAAAATCTTCACACTGGTCTTCACATTGGTCTTCACAGTAATCTTCACACTGGTCTTCACAGTAATCTTCATACTAGCTTCACAATAATCTTCACACTGGCCTACACACTGGTCTTCACAATAATCATCACAATGGTCTTCACAACAGTCTTCTCAATAATCTTCACACCATCTTCACACTGGTCTTCACTCTGGTTTTCACACTGGTCTTCATACTGGTCCTCCACCCAATCATCACACTGGTCTTCACAATAATATTCAAACTGGTCTTCACACTGGTATTCACACTGGTCTTCACACAGGTCTTCACAATAATCTTCACACTGGTCTTCACAGCAATCTACACACTGGTCTTCACAATAATCTTCACACTGGTCTTCACATTGGTCTTTACAGAGATCTTTACTCTGGTCTTCACACTGGTCTTCACACTGGTCTTCACAGTGGTCTTCACATTAATCTTCACACTGGTCTTCACATTGGTCTTTACAGTGATCTTCACTTTGGTCTTCACTGGTCTTAGTGTCTTCACAATATCTTCACTCTGGTCTTCACAGTAATCTTCACACTGGCCTCTGGTCTTCACAATATCTTCCGTCTATTCACACTGGTTTCACTGGTCTTAGAATAATCTTCACACATCCCCACAATAATCTTTTTTTCTTCATTGGTTTGAATTTCACTGGTCTTCACACTGGTCTTCAATCTTCAACTAGTCTTCACAATCTTCACACTTGTTCACAATAATTTTCACAATAATCTTTGCTGGTCTATACTGGTCTTTAAAATAACCTCACCTGGTCTTCACTGTGCTTCCAAATATTTCTTACATGGTTTCGAATAATCTTCACTGATTTTATGGTCATCTGATAATCTTCACACTGGTCTTCACAATTTTCATACTGGTTTTCACTCTGGTCTTCACTCTGGTATTTACTATATCTTCACACTAGTCTTAACAATAATATTCATACTGGTCTTCATATTGGTCTTTCACTCTGGTCTTCACACCGGTCTTTACACTCTGGCTTCACAATAATCTTCACACTGCTCTAGCAATACTCCTGACATTATTTTTTCGCACTAATCTTGACACTGGTCTTCACACTGGTCTTTTTCAATAATTCACTGGTCTTCACAATAACTTTCACTGGTCACAATAAGCTTCTACATTGGTCTTCTGATTTTCACACCAATCTTCACACTTGGCTTAGTAATAATCTTTCACTATTGGTCTACACACTGGTCTTAGAATAATCTTCACACTTGGCTTTACAATATTTTCATCTGATTTAACAATAATCTTTCACACTGATCTTCAAATAATCTTCACATGGCTTTCACAATAATCTTCACTAGTCTACACTGGTCTTAACTAAAATCTTCACACTTGGCTTCACAATAATTTTCACACTGGTCTTCATTAATCTTCACACTCATCTTCATAGTGTTATCTTCACACTTGGCTTACAATAATCAATGCACTGGTCTTAGCAATAATCTGTACACTGTCTTCACATTTTCTTCACAGCAATCTTCACACTGGTCTTCACAGCAACTCTTGCTTCACTTCACAATAATCTTCACACTGGTCTTACAATAATCTTCACTCCATCTTCACAATAGTCTTCACACTTGGCTCACAATAAGCATCACTATAATCTTCACACTGGTCTACACACTGATCTTTAACAGACACTTCACCTTGGCTTCACAATAATCTTCACACTGGTCTTCACAAAATCTTCACACTCATCTTCACAATAGTCTTTTACACTTGGCTTCACAATAAGCGTCACTATAATTTTCACACTGGTCTACACACTGCTTTTAACAATAATCTACACTTGGCTTCACACTAATTCCACACTGGTCTTATAAAATTTCATCCTGGTCATCACATTGGTCTTCACAGTAATCTTCACACTGGTCTTCACAGTACCATACTTGGCTTCACAATAATCTTC